CCCCACCCAGCGATGGAGTGAGCTGTCACCGGGAGTTTTGCCAGTGAAAGATCCGAGCGGAGAAAGGCCAGATGTCAGCGGGGGGGTGGGTGCTTTCCATGATGGAGCCAACTGGGTTTGATTTGCACACAAACTGGGAAGTTCCCACCCCAGTGCTGGCAAGTCTGGCCTGCAAAGGCAATGCTGGGAATACCCCAAAGAAGGTCTGGGCATCTATCTGTGCCCCCTGGCCCCCAAGCCAGGATGTGCCCCTCAGCAGACAGTTCTGGGCTCTTCCTTTGCCCTCTCCTGGACACTGAGAGTTGCCGTCCCTCATGGAGGACAGGCCCCGAAAAAGGAGGCTGCCGTTTCCTCCCCCAGGGCCATTTTCTTCCCACACAGCCAGGGGGGCTTCCACCTCCAGGTTCATCGCTTCACCGCCACGTGCAAAGTTGCAAAGCTTTGCAAAGTTGGGAGGCTCCGCAGAGCCCAAATTGCGCTGGGGACGGAGCGGTTTTGGGGAAGAGGACTCCTCCCTCCAGGTGGGCGTTTGTGGGGCACGGGTGGGCCTCTGGGTGGCCACAATGAAACCCTGCAGAGCCAACCTCGGGCACATCAGAAGCGCTCTCGATACCCACAAGGCCGTGGTCAGCCCTCCTGGACTGGCTCTCTCCTTTGAACTGTGGCCAAAGGGCTCCGTTTCTGCAGCCCACTTCCAAAGAAAGAGGCGTGTGTGTGTGTGTGAGTGAGTGTGTGTGTGTGTACGCTGTGTTCACTAGCCCCCACCTGCAAAGCCAGCACTGCCTTCCCTGCTTTGCACCCTTGGTCCCTTCCACGCTCCAGACTGACAAGCATTCACCCCGAGGACTCTTCCCTTTACCTGCCTGGGGTGGGTCAGGCCCCGGATGGGCCGTGGGGCAAACTTTTCACTCCCTTCCAAGGGAGCCTGCTTTGCTCTGCCTGCCAGCTGTGCTCAATGCCGGATCCATCCTCGAAGGCTTCGCCTTGGTGCCCGAAAGTGACCTGCAGCTTCCTCCCTTTGGGAGAAGAACGGGTTGCAGGAACGGAGCCTATTCCTGCTCCTCCAGAGAACCAGATGTTGTGGGGTCTCCAAGCTGCAAGAGGGGCTTCACCAGGGCCCCCCTTAAGGACCCTGGATCCCAGGGCACCCATGGTCCTCGAGTGCTGAGTAACAGCTGGGATCTCCTACCCATCCATCTCTTTCCAGGCTGCAAAGATGGATGATCTCCGTTGAAGAAGGGAGTGTTCTATCTAAGATCTTCTGGATCGGCAGGTGCAGATCTTCTCAAGGGTGCCTGTCCTCCTAGAGCTGCCTTATCTGGTACCCCCACCGGCTATTGTGGAAAGACGCTCCCTCTTTCTTTCTCAAGCTCTCCTTCCCTCTCTTCATCCTTGCTTCTGGCCCGCAAAGCCAAACGGCCTTGATTCTCCTGGTCAAAGCCAAGGCTGCAGATAACCCAAGAGAGGACAGTCAAGATTAACGCCATAGACCCAACAGTTTGTCTCCTGCCTTCGTCCACAGAGTGGAGAGAGCAACATGTCTCGCAAGATAAAAAACCCCTCAAAGCAGCCCTTCCCTCCAGCCCTTCAGAAAGACCTTCTAATCTGGCGTCTGGTTTCCAAACAAGTTTCTAGTCCTTGTAGGAGGAGAAGCGGCTTAATCTGGGGAGGGAGGCAAAACACCAGGATGCTGGCAGTGGCCTTTTCCGAAAGTCTTCGTCAGCTGCAGCCGATGCCTTTTAATAAAATTTGCAAGTCGAAAAAGGTTGTGAGAAGTTTGATATCCAAGTATATTTTATTCTTTATTCTGCTTCCATCTTCCCGTAAAATATTAACAGAGCCCATCATGGTTTGAGATTGAGTGTCTCCCCCTAGATAATTGACAGTCAAGCGGAAACTAAGATAATCAACTGAAATTAGCAAACTTCCTCAAACCCCCAAATAGGTGACCCAGACCTAATCCACATATCAAAGGATAAGGTCTGAAAACACAGAGTTAATTAAGTTAGGTCCCAGAGGAATGGCATGTTCACAAGAATAAACCTACCTACCTACCTACCTACCTACCTACCTACCTACCTACACACACACACACACACACACACACACACACAGAGGCCCCTCAAGTGTCACCCAAGAATCAACGTGTAGACACTTCAAGCTCCCCCTATAAAAATCTGGTGCTGTCCCCCACTTTTCTGCAGCTGCAAATGGTTTTGCTTTTAGGAATAAGCATTTCTTCTTTCCTCGCGGCTGTCTGGATCCCCTTTTTATTTATCCCTGCGCAGCCCTGGCTCCAGTCGGCCCCCCAGATGACTCTTCCGACAAGGTGGAGAAGAAGATTGCAAAGGCCCCCCCTGGGACGGAGGCTGCAGCTGCCGCAAACAGGGGCCGGTTGCAAGCGCCCCCAGTTCGATCATGTGGCAGAGGGGGGGGACGCTGCAGTGGTCGTAAGTGCGAGGACTGCTCCCAAGTCACTTTTCTCAGTGCCGTTGTGATGTCCAATGGTTGCTAAAGGAAAGTTTGTGAGTCAGAGGCTTCCAGCCCTTGCAAGCCATGGGGCGATGCTGCCAGCAGACTCTTTAGAGCCAAATAATTTCCTTTGGGCACGCAAAACTCTATGCAACGAAGACCGTCCTTGCAGCCCGTTAGCAGTTGGTGATCTCTGGGTGTGGAGCTGCTGACTCAGCTGGAAGGGGGTGGGGTGGGGATCCAGAGAGAGAGAAAGAGGGAGGGAGAGGAGAAATTTAAAAAAAAAAACCAGCCCAAATTACAAGCAGTGCCTGGCCAGAGAATTTAGCTAAATTGCCGGTTAGGGTTGCGCTTGAGCGTCTCCATAGGGTTGCAGCCAGGATGGTCTCTCTGCCAGAGCTAAATTAGAGAGTGGCAGAGGACTACGGTGACCCTGGGGCTCAACAAGCCACAGGCAGCATCGTTTTAGCCTGGGAGGTACCCCTGGGTGGGGTGGCCAGCCATCCAGCCTGCTGCTTGGCCAGCCCACCTCTGCATGCTAGAAGCCGCTGCACAGACTTATCTCAGCGTTTCTCAACCGTGGTAACTTTAAGCTCCCTGGACTTCAACTCCCAGAATCCCCCAGCTGACTTTAAGCTCCCTGGACTTCAACTCCCAGAATCCCCCAGCCACCATGCTTCCTCCAGGGAAGTCACTGAATGCTAGCGGGATAATAATGCCCCATGTTGCCAGGTTTGGGATGCGATATTCTGCAACCCTGCTGGCATTTCCAGGCTGGGCACGAGTCCTTTTGTCCCAGGGCGGGCGGGGTGGTGTCTCCTGTTCCTGCTGCCCCCCCACACCCAGGCCCTCCGGGGATCTTTGGAGCCTGGTCCACGGAGGGTGTGATGTTGGACTGCCACTCCTAAAGTCCTGCCAGGCTCCACGTTCCGTTAGTCTGTGCCTTCTTCCGCCTGATTCTCACAATCTGAGATTCTCCTTCTCTGAATCCACTGCCTTCAGCTGCCTTCTCTCTGCAGCAACTTTAAGGAGCCGCAGTTTCTCTATGGCCACATCCTCTTTGGGAGGAAAAAAGCCAGGAAAACCGAAAGGCAGCAGCAACCTTTGCAAATACTTTCCCAGTCTTGGCTTTGTTTGTTTTTTCTTTCTCACAGGAAACACTTCGTGTCTTGGAATTCTTCCCGCGCTCCAGCCAGAACTCGGGATGTGACAGCAATGTATTTACGATCCTGATAAGGCATTTTAGAGGGAAAATGGTTTTTAAAACTTAACTCTTCCTTCCCCTGTTTCTCTTAGCCTCCTCCTTGAGTTCTCCCGGGGTCCTTAAGAAACACAGAGCAAAAGAGGGTTTCAAGTTTCATTGGCAGGCTTGGCTGGAATAAAACTATGGTTCTCTGGAGATGCCTTAATCACAAACCTATGTGTGTGTGCGTGTGTGTGTGTGTGTGTGCAACACAACTGCCCATTACAGACTCTGAAAGAGGCGAAGAAGAGGAGGGATTTGCTGTATAATTTGACATTCCTCCATTGTAATGACTAGAAACACAGCACCCTCATTTCATCTGCTGGCATCTAATTGAATTAAATTATGCAATTTGCCCAGGGATTGTGGACTAAGCCGCAACAGGCTCCATTCACCGTCATGTTTTGCAACCTGCTAAACCAGAACCAAACCACACTCTAGCTTAGCACAAAGCTAAAATTTGTCTTCTCCAGCAATCTGTCCTCAGTGAGATGAAAGGAGAAGCGGAAACCAGGCAGGCGGTTTGAGAAAGAGAAGGAACGCTGATAGGTGCTCAGGTGTCCCCTTGTTCTTCTGGGACAAAGAATTCAAGAGAACTTGCTGTGGACTTAGAAAGTGGCTGCTTTGAGCCTTATCGTTGCATCTCATTCCTGCCTTTAAATCAATTTTTCATCAACGTTTTCATTTACGTTTGAACCGTGGTTAGGGAGTAGTGCCTAAGCGGAGCCATGAACCGACGGACAGAAATACGTTCCAAGTTACAACAAACCAGCATTTCTTTTTCCCCTAGATGGCTTGTGAAAAGGAAGGAAGGAAAGAAGGAAGAAGGAAGGGAAAGGAAAGGGAAAGAAAGAAAAAAGAAAGAAAAGGAAAGGAAAGAAAAGGAAAGAAAAGGAAAGAAAGAAAGAAAGAAAAGAAAGAAAAGAAAGAAAGAAAGAAGAAAGAAAGAAAGAAAAGAAAAGAAAAGAAAAGAAAAGAAAAGAAAAGAAAAAAAAGAAAAGAAAAGAAAAGAAAAGAAAAGAAAAGAAAAGAAGAAAAAAAGAAAAGAAAAGAAAAAAGAAATTTTCGGTGGGCCACTCCTGGGATGCAGTTGTGCCTTTGGGAAGATGTGCAGGACATGAATCTCCCCCCCTTCCCCTTGTGCCTTGCACGGTCCCTCCCAGCGAGGAGGGGGGGGGGGCTCAGCCTCCAGAAGAAAAGGGGAGGGAGAGGGGAGCTGTTTGGGGCCGTCCTGCCCTTCCCTCTTCCTACCCTCCCATTCCCACATGAAACCAGATTTAATGCAAACAAGCTGGCCCGGCTCAGAGCTGCCCAGGACGCTGCGCAGAGCAGAGGCGAGCAGAGCCCCTCCAGGCACCAGGCGCCCCAACCGGGAGAGGAGCCGCCCGCCTTCCCACCTCCTTCTCCCCGGGTGAGTCCATGCCAGGCGCTTCTCCTGCTTGGGGGCCCAGCTGGCTCCCCTCAGTTGGGGTCTCTCTGCCACTCTCCCTGGCGATGGGGAACTCAGGCGGGGTCCTGCCACCCCTCCCTGCCTGCCAGGCGCCGGGGGGGGGGGGCAAGAGCCTGCCTCTGCCCCTGTTTTCATTCCAGGTGTGCAGAAAGAGCCGGCAGAATTCCCCTCCTCCTCCTCCTCCCCTTGCATCTGGAGGGTTGCCACTGGGAAGAGGCGAGAAGGTTGGGTAGCCCAGGGATGCTGCTGTCCGGTAGACTTCAGAGGCCAAAGGAGGCTCTCTGCAGACCGACGGGGAGACAAAGCGGCAAACTTTTGCATACTCGCAAAGGCGGCTGCCTCCGATGCCCACAGCCGTTTGGCTGCCTTCTCTTGGCGCCCACCTGCCTCCCCAAAGCTGCAAAACTTGGGTTGGGGTAGGCTCGCTTTTGAGGGGAGGTCAGGGGGTCCAAGCCCTCTCGGGCTGATCTCAACCAGTTCTCTTCTCTCTCCATTCCCCCCCCCCCCATTCTCCCCCCACAGAGAACCCTCCTCTATCCAGAGCCCTGAGGGTAGCTTTTTTGGGTGGCTGCATCCTTCCTCTGACTTGCCTGACTTCAAAATATTCACAAGAAGTAAATTTGAAGGGATTTGCCTTTCAAATCACGCATTCCTCAATTCTTCTCTCTCTCTCTCTCTCTCTCTCTCTCTCTCTTGTGTTTTTGACTGGATTCCGTGAGCCCAAGTACAGATTAGCTGGACGTGGTTCTGGGGAGCCCAGGGGGCAGGAAAGTACAGGAGAAAGCCCCCCTTCCCAAAATAAAGTAGATTCAAACATCCCCTATTGTGGTCCAGATTCTGCAGCTGGCTCTTTGGGAGGGGGCTTAAAGTGGGGGGCCTGGGATCCCGAGTGGAGTCTGGACTGTTGATTTAATTGCCGTTTGATAATTTGTTCCTGCCAAGCAGAGTTGGAGAGCTCTCATATTACAGAAAGCTAAAGTGGGTTTAGAGAATATGTTATGCTTTGGGGGAAGGAAGGAGGGAGGGAGGGAGGGAGGCTGACGAACTATGGAGTCTGAGCAAAGCCACAGGGGTTGGAAGCAGTCCCAGGAATGAGGACTTCTTCCCAGATGCTGGATAAAAAATGTCGAATTTTTATTGAGGTATCTTAAGCTTGCTGTTTACATCAAGTTTTAGACAGCTGAGCCTTCACCCTCAGCAGCAGTCTACCTGTGACCACCAGAAATGGGAATGGTGTTGTCGGAGCTGCTCAGAAACATCTGGCTGGCCTCTATTGAAGGAGGAGATGCTTAAAAGGAGAGGGGGGCGCAAGGCAGATTCCCCCCCCCCATTAATCTGCAGCTTCTCAGCCTGGGGACGCAGTGGATTCGGGGTGCCAGGCAGGGCCAAGGGCTAGTTTGGGGAGCCAGAGAGGGGGCTCTCTGATCACAGGGCACCGAGGTGTCCCCCTACCCTTTGGGAGGGGGAGAGAGGCAGGAAAGAAAAGGGGGCAACTGGAAGGTGAAGGGTGTTTGATCACAGCATCCTTCATGAAGAAAATCCAATCAAACTCAGAGGAGGGAGATCAGGGAAAATTTGGGCCCTGGACCGCAGAGGAAACCTCCCTGGGGGCTCCAGGGGTGGGGGCCTGGCCTGGGGAAGCCCCCCCTCCAGGTGCTCTGGGCCTCCTCTGATCCGCCACAATCCCCAACGTTGCTCTGATGAAGTTTTAGGGGAGCTGGGCTAGAAAGTGAGAGAAGGGGGCCCGATCACATCTGGCAGCCTGTCCAGGACCCTCCAGCTGTTCCAGCCCCCCAGACAACCAGATGGCCAGACCACCCACTCTGGGGGCTGCAGGAAGGCTCCAGGCTGGGCAAAGCGGGGGGAGGTATTGCCCTCAGCTGGCCAAGAAAGGATTGGCTTTCAGTTTGGCTGCTTTTAGCAAAACATCTGGAATCTGGGAGAGAAAAGGTCTCAAAGCCTCAAGGGAAGGGTTAGCTCCTGGCCACGTGCAGAAGGACATCCCTGCACCTCTCCCTGAGGACCCTGGACTTCCAACCTCTTCTGGGTTTCCAATTTAAGACCAGAGAGAAAGAGACAGACAGAGGAAGAGAGAAAGAGAAAGAAGGGAGAGAGACAGAGAGGGAGGGAAAGAGGGAAAAAGAGGGGAGAGAGAAAGAGAGGGGGAGGGAGAGAAGGAGGGGAGACATTTCTTGAACTTTCTTTCTGTTTAGATCTACCGGAGAGGTTAAGGGGGCCTACAGTAAACTTCAGCCACCCGGGAGAGCAGCTCCGGGGTTCTTGAGCTGCCTCGCATCGCTCAGCCCGGCTAGCCTTTCCGTCCAGAGTCCCCAGGCTGAGGAATGTCTCCCGCTGCCAGCTGTGCTCTGCTCAGGCCAAATCAGGAGACTTAAACACCACCGACTGTCTCCGGAATGACTGAGAGCGACCGAGGCTGCAAACCGACTCTGGGCACGGAGCGATGCCCGTTTGGATTCCCCAAACGGAAAAAGTCCTTTGCAGGCCAGAAGTTCTCCGGTCTCCTTCTCCGGACAAAGAGCATTGCTGTTCTCCTGTCAGTCTGGGCTCTGAATAACTTAATTGCCCCCCTCCCACTGCAGAGACACCCCCAAATTAATGGACAGAGGTGAATTAATGCAGCCGCGTCTAACGCTGAATCGGAGTTTTGGGCTGCATCTCTGCGCCTGTGAAAGCACCTTAGCCCCGGCCAGACCACCAACCTAGGGGATCCAGGGCTCCCTATCTAGCTGCCATTCAGGAATTGGGGGTAGAAAGTGAGGGTCTTAAGCTTGGAAACCCCTTCACGCTCGCCCGTAGCCTTCTGCAGGGACTCATCCTGAATACCAAGGCAGACTCCCCCACCAAGGACCCTGAGCCGCTATGGAGAAGCCTTGCTTTGCATCCTCTGGCCTAGGACTTAAAGCTTCAGGGTTGGTTTGTTTTTGTTCCAATCACTGCAGATTTTAGAATAAATGAATATTTTTATTACCCTCACAAATCAGAATTGCAAACAAAAGAAAGCATTAGAAATGAAGTAAAAAAAACAAAACAAGATGAGCTATTACAGTTGCTGGAGGCTCATAGACTTTACGCAAGAACAATGCAAAATAGGCGTTTGGTGTTGGGGAAGGCAGGGAATAGACTGAGGGGCCCAAATATTTGATTTTCGTGCATGATTGCAATTCTTCGGACTGGTTTGTTTTAGCTCTGAATTTATTTTTGGTGTGGAAAGGAGAAAAAGGTTTCTTTGATTCAGATGCTCTGAAGAATAACGGATCCCTTGTGTGTCCTTGTGTGTTTTCTGTTTCCCCCCAGACGTTGGTGTGATCCTCCGAGCCTTGCCATGGCGGCCCTGCAAGACCTGTGCCTGCTTCTTCTCTTGATGTCGCCCTTTGGTGCCTCCAGATCAATTCAGAACCTGGTCCTGGAAGACAGCGAGGGGAGCGGGGACAGCGAGGGGGCTTCCCCCGGCCCCACTTCTGCCAGGGCGACGCTGAGTGCGAGTCCCACCTCAGGGAGCCTGGCGGTCGATTCAGTCAACGGAACGTTGCACTCCTTCAACCTCCTGGACGGCATTGTGAACTTCTTCCAGACGTACATGCTCCTGATCCTGGTGGTGGGCTCTCTTCTCCTCATCTTCCTGTCCATCGTGTGTGCAGCCGTCATCACCCAGCAGAAGCACAAGGCCTCCGCCTATTACCCCTCGTCTTTCCCGAAGAAGAAGTACGTGGATCAGAGCGACAAGGCTGGGGGAGCCAAGGCCTTCAGCGAAGTCCCCGAGAAGACGTCCAAGGACAGCCAAGAGGAGCCGGTGGATTCCACCAAGCAGTTGCAGGCGGACATCTTAGCTGCGGCCCAGAACCTCAAGTCTCCAACCAGGGTCGTGGCGAATGGGAAAAGTGGCCCCGTGGAAGACCCACCCGTGGAAGGAAAAGAGGAAGGGCCCCAGAAAGCGGAAGACGTGGAGGAGGGCAGCTCCAAAGAAGAAGAAGAAGAAGAAAAAGAAGGAGAAAAACCACCCACTGAGGCTGAGCTGCCTCCAGAGACATCAGCGCCAAACAATTTGGTGGATGCTGAGACCAAAGAAGAAGAGGTCCCATCGCTGGTGGTGGAGACCCATCCATCTCCTCCTGAGGAGCCCAAGGAAGCCCCACCACCCACCGAGGAACCTGCCATGCCTGCCTCCGAAGGGGAGAAGGAGCAGAAGGAAGAGCCCAGCGCTCCACTGACTCTCGACCCCACAGAAGAATCCAAAAACTGAATGGGGGTCACTTCCCATCACTGGGGGGGGAGGACAGCTGACCATATGAAATCTACAGGAATCTGTTTATCAAATAGAAGGGAGCAGATCTTTTACCTTACCTGCAAAGGAGACAAGTTAGCCACCTCCCACCCTCCCGAGAAATACCTGAAAGTTCTGCATTCCTGCCGTTTTGCTTTAATGGACTTTCTCCAGTTATGCAGACTTGCCCAAGTCTGCTGCCCTCCAGCTGCAGAAGACCACGGCTTCCATCGTCCCCTGCCAACCTGCCCAGGGAGGTGACGAGAGTTGCTTAACGCACCTGGGGGGAGGGGAAGTTGAGTGGCCGCAGCGTCATAATGTCGCTACTCAACCAGGTATCACTGAGAAGGTACGGTAGAGCTTATTTTAGGAGACCCGTTGAAGACACATCGTCTTCAACGGGGTTCCAGGATTCTTCTGGAGGAACCATCCCAGTATCGTCCTCCAGGACTTTCCCACTTTCAGGGAGAACATACCTGCACATACATACATGCTTACGTAATGTTTGAGGTGGGCCCTTCGGGTGAGCATCTAACTCTATATCAGTCCCTAATTCTGGACCAAGGTTGTGTGCACAGATGATTGGTCAACCTTTCTATCAATCATGAAGTCATCCAAACCTCTTTTTCTTCTTCTTCTTCTTCTCTCCGATGCGGATGAGATCTTCTTTGGGCAAACTTGAAGTTATTTCACACCTGTGTTTCTTTTAAAGCAATCTTGGTTCAACTCTGTTTAGTTGTCCTTTATATCAGTGATTAATTCATTTACTTTTAGTATCAGCTCTGAAAGTTGAACTTATGGCGGTATTTAGTTTCAGAACGGTCAACCTGAAATCAGATTTTTATGTACAATTTCCAGCCAAGCAATGACAACAATATAGGATCCACCACTCAGTCCAAGTTTTTTTTTTTTTAAATCTGGTTTCTGAGAATCCTTAACTGTAAGTTCTCCAGATGCTTTAGGAGATCTGATTGCTCAAGACAACCAACCTTGGGGAGAATCTGATGACGTTTCTGATAATCGTTCCTCTTAACGGTCTACAAATATTCAAACTTTTGTGTGGAGGGGAAGATACTGAAGACTTTCATGAGTGAATGAAGCTCAACAATGTTCAATGTTCAATCCTGAATTTTTTCACTTGTCAAAATGGTTAATTTTCAGAGGCCTCATATTTTTCAGCATTTAAACACACTGAAAATGTTTTCTGGGCATTTTTAAACTCAGCTATGGGGTGGAGGGAAGACTTTTGGTCAATTTTTAAAAATGTTTTTATATTTTGACTGGGGAACATTGGATTTCAGATTTCCAGGTGCTAATCTTCCTAGGCCAACTAGAAAAATATTTCAGTAAGTCTTAGAGCTGAAGCAAGTGAGATTAACCTGGTTTGCGACAAGCCTTGAAGAAGCTGGGTGCCAGGAGAACTTATTTGCAACAAAAATTCCTCCTTGGTTTTTCCCAGCCTCTTTGCAAAGGTTCTGCTGATATTTATGACTTTTCCTCCCACTGGGCTCTCCCAGGATGATCCTTGTAATCCTAGTAAAAACATCTATAAATTTAGCTGACAAGAGACATTTATTGTAGTTTTGAGGACTTATCTGGGGTAGGGTTTAGTAGGTTGACCCTCTCTGGCAGGGTCTCTGCAGTCCTACACTTCAGGGCCATTTCTGAATGAGAGACTCTAAGGGGGGGGGCTGTCAAAGACAATATTTGGAACTTTGCAACAAGCTAAACCCCAACTGGGTTAGCATGAAGAGGGTCTGATGAACTTCTTTCTCAGCATCTCCTTCTACAGCTTCCTAAACCTGAAAACACGAGGAAGGGCAGAGTGTTGATAAAAGCACAAAATAGACAACTTCACTTTCCAGCTGTTCCAACCCAGCCCATGGGTGGCTAAAGTCCAGGAGTGGCAGAAACTAGATGCCCAAACACCTGGAACTGTGTTTCTCAAGCTTTAAGGTGTTTTGCACTTCAGCCCCCAGAATTCCGCAGCCAGCACGGTTTAATTGGTTGATATGGCCAATGATTTAAAAGAACAAATGGCCCAAATTCAATAAAATGCCGTGACTGTGATGTTCCCTTGCCTGAGGCCCCCTTCAAGCCTACAGTGAGTCCAAATGTATTTTTCTCCGTTATAGATGTATGTCCCATTAAAAAGAAACGATGAAGCAGGCTTGTGTGGATGTGTGGATGAGGACTGGTGGTTCTCTCCTGGGATTCAAAGAGGAAATGGCTGGCATTCTTGGGCCAGAAAGAAAGAGCATCCTAGGGGCCTCCGGGTGGAGATGGCTCCCCGCTTCTGCCTTGCCTTCCATCGGGCGCATCTCTCCCTTCTCTGCATGCTCTCAACTCCCAGCGCAGCCCTACTTTAAAACCCCCAGTCCGTGATCTGCTTGCGCAGCCTGTCTCCGGTCTACGTCAAGGTCCAGAGAAAGCCTTAACGTTTGCCATTTGCAAAGTTCTCAGAAGCAGAAGCAACGACCAACCACACGGCAAGGTCAGTTGCCAACAAAACACTGACGTGTGTCTGCAAAGGAGAGATAGGAGTTGTGTGTGAAAGCAAAAACAATCCTCCCCGATTATTTCTCTCCCTCTCCCTTTCTTGGAGCACCGAACAGCCGAACTCGGGAGCATTTGGTCAGGCTGTTTCAGGAACAAAACCTGCAACTCTTTTAAAGCCCTGAGCACAGGTTGAACAGCAAACAAAGCTGAAATTTGTGCATTAACAAGCAGGTGAAATAAAAAAAGGCTACAGATCAAATCTCCGAAGAAGGTCTTTCCCACAGATAAAGGAACAGAAACCAAGAGCAAAAAGCTACAGCAAAGTCAGTCTATCCTGTTGGCTCTAGTACAGGTCTTAACATGGTGCGTTCCCTAAATGCTTCTTCCCCTGGGGGGCTCTGAGAACTTATAAAAGGGGACCTATTTCCTGGCGTGGGTGGGAAGTGGTGATTCTCACCAGGCTCTGGCACCACCACCTGCCCCTTTTGATAGGGCTTGGTGGGGGGATAAAGACAGCCTGGCTCAAACTTCTGCTGTTCGGCCCGGCAGAGCACGCGAAGAAAACGTGAAATGCTGATCTCGAATTCAGGAGAATGGCTGCTTGGAGCACTGAAGGTTTGGGCCGCTCCTGGAACAAAGGGAGGGTTGTAATTTAGCTGTTGCTGTGGGTTGTCTGTGGTCGGCCTGGTCCGGATTTAGAGAAATCTGCCCAATATTTATGACAGGCGGAGAGAGTTGGAGAGAACATCTACTCCTCTCATTTCTGACCGCCTGACTTCAAGGAGAGCGTCAGCCCAAGCTTTTCCGCCTCCCTCCCTTGCACTGTGGTGGCCCTTTGCCAAAAGCCCCTTCCCATCCATCTGCGTTTAAACTGGCCTTGCACTTTGTCATAAACCAGGACGTCGTCCCAGCTGGCATGATGTTCCACCAGAACAAATTGCATTAGAGTTTAGGGGAGCAGAGATTGCATTTGGGGAGCATCGGGGAAGGTTTAAAAGAGAAAAGCGATACTGTGACTCTCTAAGTTTTGTTTCTTGGAGAGCTTTTAAAAGGGGGGGGGGGGCTAGAAAATCCTCTGCTACGGAAAACTTTTGATTCTAAAACTTGGGTGAAAATGGGAAGACCAGAACGGGTCGATCCAGCCCTTTTGACAGAGCCTTCTCTTCAACAGAAGGGGCTCTTCAGATCCAAAATATTGCAAAGTGGTTTATTTTTAAGCATCTCCTTTTTGCCTTTGAATGGGGAGGCCTATCGTTGACCGGGACGGCTTCAGAGTGGATTATCCAGTTGCTGGGATCAATGGCAGGCAGGCAGGCAGACGATGCTGCTTCGGCAGCTGAGGACTGTTTTGGTTGGAAACCTGAGCCGCCGATAAATCACCCCAAATACAGGGTGGCAGCTGGCACTCAAAGACAGGAGGGGTGAAGAGCCTTCGCCTGTCTGCCTGTGTGTCAGCCTGCCCTTCTCCCTGGCCTCTGAAGAATGCGGAGGCAGGTTTTGCTGGCTGGGGTAGCCTTTGCAGAAGGGAGGAACTGCCTCGTTGGGGCTGCCCCCATCCGATCAGCCAGCCTGGACGTGTCAATGGACCCCCTAACTTAAAGAGAGCCCCCTCTGGCGCCTTCAACACAGCCTCCTATTCCTATTAGGCTGGTATTTTTTGAAAAAACCGTCAAGCTGCCATTTTGCATGTGCTGAGAAACAGGTGTATATTCTGCTCCTCTTTCAGGCTGGTATTCCGGTCTATGTCAGACAGTCCAGATCTACCAGATTTTGGGAATGAACAGATCACAAGCTGACCGATATCGCCAGGCAACAGGGGGGAAAGTGCCAGATTTCCAATGTCACTAGGATTGATAAAAAAAAAAAACGTGGTTTCCAGGCCTGGTACAATATTTCTCAAGCTTGGTGGCTTGAAGATGCGTGGATTTCAACTCTCAGAATTCCCCAGCCAACAAGCAACTGTTCGCTGGCAGATGCGTAGTGTGGCCTCATGGTTAAGTCACCAGGCTAGAAGGCAGGAGAGGTGAATTCTAATCCCGCTTAGGCATGAAAGCTGGCCGGGTGACTTTGGGTCAGTCCCTCTCAGCCCAGCCCAGCCCAGCGGATTGTTGTTATACAGACACAAGGAAGAAGGAGCACTAGGTATGTTCTCTGCCTTATAAAAATAGTAAAGGTGGGATGTAAGTAAAGAAAACGCAAATTAAAAGAACTCAACGTTCTGTGGAACAAACATGTATTATCTCTGCATGTGTACAGGTTGAACAGCAAACAAAGCTGAAATTTGTGCATTAACAATCAGGTGAAATAAAAATATATTCCTTTCTTTATAATTCCAATCTAGAAATAGCAAAACAGAGACAGCTTTACTGTACTGATCAGGTCTATCCCTTGTGTTAGGGGAATGTGAACCCAGCAACATGAAACTACACTGCTGTTTTACCCCCCAAATTAATGACCAAAAATGTCATCATAAGCCCGAAGAGCTTCCATACTGCTCTAAATCTACCCCTGGAGGGAGAACCCTGGGATGTCATACATCACTGCTTGTCCCTGGGGACTCAAGGATCGTACCTGAAGTGGCCCTGGGACTTTTCTTGGTAACCAAGAGGCAGCTTTACATCCCCACCCCCACCCACCCACCCTTTCAGTGGCCATTCTTAAGGCTATAAATCAAATCTCTGAAGAAGGTCTTTCACACAGATAAAGGAAAAGAAGCCAAGAGCAAAAAGCTACAGCAAAGTCAGTCTATCCTGTTGGCTCTAGTACAGTCTTAACATTGTGCGTATGAGTTGTGCGTCTCTCCAAAATGTTGATGGATCAAGCTCCTAAGGTATCGCGCTGAGGCTACAAGCGGAATAAAGGGAAGCTGGCTCCCAGGTCTTGAGGTGCAAAGGAGCCCTACATGCTGGCTGTGCTCTTCTCAGGTCCAGCAGGGTTTGGCCCCTGCTTCAACTTGTAATCTGCCAAGGCGGCCTTGATGGCGTCTTCCGCTAGCACTGGGGAGAAGGAGAGAGAGAGAGAGAAACCGTCAGAGCTTGGAAACACGGGATGCTGCTTCGTTTTCCGTGGGGGAAACAAAGGGTTCCAGGAACGCAATGAACAGTGAAAATCCTACTCACTTGAGCAGTGCAGTTTTACTGGCGGCAGGCAAAGCTCTTTAGCAATATCCGTGTTTTTTATCTTCAAGGCTTCATCAACCTGAAATTGACCCAAGTTGACAGTTTAGCAAGGCCTGGGCAGCTCTTTCCCAAGGGTCTCGCTTACAAAGAGGTTCTCACTTTCTTTTACATGAGAATATGCCCCACCAAGGCTGAAGGCTCACAAATGTCCTCAAAGAAGGGACTCTTAATCAAATATGGCCAAGGGTTTGAAATGGACAGGACGTACCGTCTTGCCTTTCACCCACTCCGTCGCCAAAGAACTTGAAGCGATTGCTGACCCACAGCCAAACGTCTTAAACCTGGCGTCAATGATTTTCCCGTTTTCATCCACCTCGACCTGAGGGCAGTTACAAAGACCCCAATTACCGGCCAGCGCAGGGCTAACAGAAAGGGGACAGGCTGGGCAGGCGGAGCTGCCTGGGGAAAAGCCGGGCCTTTGCTTACTTGCAGTTTCATGACGTCTCCACAGGCCGGAGCCCCCACCAGGCCAGTTCCCACGTTTTTGGCCTTCTTGTCCAGGGAACCGACGTTTCTGGGATTCTCGTAGTGATCTACGACCTGAAAGGGCAAAACCCAGACAACCCTTGAGCAGCCGAGAGAGAAGGCTCCTCATAGAAGGAGAGAGGCAAGAGAAGCCTCCCCCAACAATAATCCTCCCTTCCCCCTTTCAGCTTGTTTGGGGGTGGTGACAGGGCTGGAGGGGCTCGGGAGGGTTTTCCGCCCACAGATCGCTGAGAAGCCACCCAAAGTTGGGTTCCAGGCAATCGGGGCTCTTAGGCTCCCCTCTCTCTCCCCCCAGGATCAGGCCCAGCCAATCTTGGGGCACTGGAGTTTTGCTAAACACATAAATATTTGCTATATTCTGTAAGCCGCCTTGAGTCGCTGTGGGTGAATAGGCAGTGTGTGTGTGTGTAGCGTATGTATGTATGTACGTACGTATGTATGTATTTATACACACACACAATATATATATATATATATATATATATATACATACACACACACACACATACATATATACATATATATATATATATATATATATATATATACACACACACACACACACACACACACACACATACATACATACATAAACATATAATATATATCCTGATATAAATTTATATATCCTTCGCTGGTTTTCAGGGAGAGGCGCCACAAGAGGGGGAAAAAACAGGCCGGAGGAGGGAGAGGGAAACCTCACCGCCCCCCCCCCCCCGCGGGCTCCTTCTTTCCTTCTCCTCCGCCCACTGCAGACAGGAGCCACCCTGCCCGGCCTCCTCCTCCTTCCCTCCCTGCCCGGGACAGGCGCGTCTCCGCTTCGACGGCTTCTCCTCTCAGCCTCTCCTTTGACAGCCGCGAAAGGGGCGGGGCTGAGGCTCCCGCTATCAGGAGCGATGGGAGTTGTAGTCCCTCGGGAGGGGCGCCGGACTCGCCTCCCGCCTCCCCTCCCAAGGCCCAGCCCACCTTCTCGTGGTAGCCGGCGGCCGGAGGAGGCCGGGCCAGGCCGGGCCTGAGGAGCACCGCGGCCCTCACGCCACTCGCCCGCAGCGCCGCCATCTTGTCCCTTTCGCAGGCTCTGCGCTGCCGCGGCGGGGGACGCGCGCAGTGTCAATAGAGGGCGGGGCGGGGCGACGCGCCCGTGACGCCATCAGGTCGCGCCAAAAAGGCGCGGAGCCGCTAAGTCACACTCCCCTTAGCCTTCGAGGAGGGAGGTTAACCGCTCGCTGCCTGGCAGGTATTTCTGGCGCCGTCGTGGAGCGCGGCCGCGGGAAAGAGTAGGCGAGCCTCCGCGTTAAGGGAAGCAAACGCTGCCACCTCCCCCCCCCCGACAAAATCCGGCCGTTATCATTTCACTTCGGTTTTATTTCACTTTAATTCTGCCCCCTCCTCGTGGCGCATGGATTAGTTGCCCCGCCTCCCTGAACGGTGGGAGGGGGCGCTTGCTCCTCCCAGGAGTCTTTGCGGCAGCCAGACTCGGTTCGACCGTCCCTTGAGGCCCCTTCCCCGCGGCCGTCTAACTCAAGTGCCTGTTTGGAGCGGGACCCCTTCCCTTCCCGGGGTTCTTCCCGCGCCATCTCGGCCTGGAGCGGAAGATCCCACTTAAGGCCGAAACCCCCGTCTCTTTCAAGGTTCGCGGGTCCGGCCCTCTCCTTGGCGGGCTCTTCCCCGTTCAGGCGTCGCTGCGGGCAGCCCGGAGTCTCGGCGCACGCGCGAACGTGCCCTGGACGCGAGGTCATGGCGGGGGCGGGGCGAGGGTGGCCCCCGGGCGCGATGTCGGACGAGGACAGCTCTGAGGCGGAGGACATCGCGGAAGCCATCGAGCTGCTGGAGGAGGTGGGCGGCATCGACGACCTGAACGCCGCCGCCGCCGCCGCCGAAGACGAAGACGGCCACCGCTTTGTGGAGCCGGAAGGCGAGATCGTACGCCTGCAGTTGATGGTGAGAGGGGCGGGGCTTCGGGCAGGCAGGCCACGCCCACAACTCTTTCTGGTTTGGGGGGCTCCTTAAAATCCTTGGAAATAGGAAAGCATGAAATTGGGGAGGGGCCCTGAAGGCTGTGCCCCTGCGCCGGGAGCCCCTTTGTGGGCCCCAAGGCCTTGGGGGGGGGGCTCCTCCGAGGGAGGGCGGCTTGGGGGGGGGGGGGGGGGGGGGGGGGGGGTCGAGCAGGGACCCCCCTGCTTTTCCAGTACGGGTAGTCCTCGATTTACGACCACAGAGGGACCCAGAATTTCCATTGCTAAGTCAGACAGTTGTTAAGTGTCGCCCCACTTTGCAACCTCTCCTGTGAAGTCAGTAACAAATTAGTAAGTTCACCATAGTTGTTAAGGTAATAACACCGTCAATAAGTGAATCCGGGCTTTCCCAGTCAGCTTTGCTTGTTGGAAGGTTGCAAAAGGGGATCCCAAGACAGCCCCCCCTAACACCCCCCCCGTCATGAACGAAGTTTGGTCGGTTTGGACCGAAGGGAAGCTGCAGAGGTTGTAAGTACAAAAAACGCCTCCTGAGTCGTCGTTCCCCCCCCCCCCCCCAGTGCTGCAGTAATTTTTGATCGGCCACTAAACAAGCGGTTGCAAGTCAAGGACTGCCTGTCCCTTGCACCGATAACGGCACAGCGCCGACCACGGGTTTTGCCTCCTCTGAGGATGCTCCCTAGGCCGGACCTGTTTGCTAGTCCTTACGTCCTGCAGTAGTTGGTGCGAATGTTGAGTTGATCCCTCTTCGCCTTGCAGAGACCGAGTTGGAATTCTAAGGGATTAAGATGCTGCTGAGAGTCGCAGATTTCTTTCCCTCTTGGCTCCACTCTAAACAGTCCCTCCGCTGCAGGCGTTTCTTGGCCTAACACTGGATTAGGGATTCCTAGGGCAATCCGTGCCCCGTGATCTGCCTTAGCGCCTTGACTAGAGACGGTCCCAAGCAGTGGCAGATTTATGCCTGGCCCAGGATAATTCATGTCCCGCATTGGAAACCCCTCATGGTCTTTGTGCCTGTTCCATAAGTAAAATTTGCCAGGATGGTACTAATCAATAGCTTTTAGCTAGGTTTCTGTAGAACCGTGTAAATAAAGTTACTGTTTTGACAATGTTTTTTTAGCTGGACAGAAATGCCTATGATTACAACTCTCATTTGGCTCTGATAAAAATAATGCGTGATGAAAGCGACTTCGCGCTTCCGGTAGCCCGCCAGAACATGAGCGAAATTTTCCCTCTCACTGAAGGTAGGCAAAGTCTTTTGGCCTCGCAGAAATTCAAATCTTGATATACCCCATTTCGTTGTATAAAATGTAAATTGAAATCGGATATTGAGTGATCACCCCAAAAAAATTTCCTCCATAAATGAAATTGTTAAAGAGTTGTTACTGGTAACGTTTGCATATAGAGTGAAAGGGTCTAACATGCATTTTCAACGGAACCATTTAATAAGAATAAACAGCTAAGTGGTTATCTTTCCTCTCTCCCTTGATGTTGTGGCAGAGTTTTAAAAATACTGCTGTTTGTCTTAGTGATTCTGTAGAAAATAACCAGACTTTGCATTCCTACTTCCAAAAACCCCAAGAATACTTTAGGGGAGATATACAATCCTGATGTATTGGAGGTGGGGGCATATGCACTACATTTACTTAATCACATTTTGTACTGGACAGGCGCCGTCTGCACCAACTGTGAGGTAGAATTGAAAACTTTAGCAGAAAAACAGCTGGCTTGTTCATTCATTCTAGACTTGCATTCACACGAGTCACATAGTTCTGATAGCATCAGAGAATACATACCCCTAGGTGAAAATGTACAGCGATTTGCACTGCTGTGGATCCTGTTAAATGTGCTCATGCTGCTGTTTTTTAAACGAAGGTGGTTCCTGTGCCATGGCCTTGGCTTGTTCCCCCAGATTGGGGGGTGGGGGGGGGGGGAGAAATTTGGCAGTTTGAAGCGGGGAGCAATATTCAAGATTGGCTCAACCCCTACAGAGTAGAAGCTTTCCTGGCAAACATTTTGTGGGGCTTTTAAATGAAAGCTGAGGTTTCTTAATTACGTCGCCTGTTTTATCTTCTTTTTTTCTGGGTTGCATTAAAAATGGCAGCTTTGCTGTACTTTTAGTTAAAATTACTAGTGATTTACTTGTGGCACCACTTAATTGCTGCCAGATGTTTGGCGCCATCATGATGGAAACCAAACAAAACTCCAGAGCATTTACTTTAGAGAATTATTTAGGTTAAATTTGTTTCAGAGAAGATTTTGGTTTCTTGAGATGTAAGTAGAACGTAGCTGTGTGAACATCTGTTCAGTCGTAAACCCTGTTGAATTTAGTAGAACATACACATACCTATATTCTATTAATAATCACTGGTAATTTTAACTAAAATTACATATATATTTGACCCTGCTTAGTAATATGTTATTTAGCAATATCTTTTTCCAGGTTAATCTGTGGTAGCTTCCTAACCCTCTCTGGCTTTGTCCCATGTTCACAGGGATGTGGCTAGACTGGCTGAAGGATGAGATTCGGAAGCCTAGAGAGACTGATCGGGAAAAGATTTACGAACTTTTCGAGAGAGCCGTGAAAGATTACATCTGTAAGTTTACTTTTAAGTGGATCTTCTTTCATGCTCAAACAAACGGAGATAAACAGCACCAAAATAGATAGGTTCAAGGCAACAGGTTCTCCAAAGGACTTACTCTGCTGGAGGAAATGAAAAAAATTCAGAGTTAACTTCAGCTTCCTTCCGCAAAAGCACTCAGAAGTGATACCCCCTCTCTGCCCCCCGCTGTGGTTGTTTTCTAGGTCCTCAAATCTGGCTGGAGTATGCCCAGTACTCCATGGGGGCCATCGGCCAGGAAGGAGGGATTGCGAGAGTTCGCGCAATCCTAGAGCGGGCGATCATCGAGGTTGGCCTCCACGTGACCAAAGGAGCTGCCATTTGGGAGACTTACCGGGAATTTGAAAACGCCATTTTGGCGACAATGCAGGTAAGCCCTGGCAATGCTGCACTGGAGTTGCGTGGAGTTAGTCCAGGTGATGGTTTCCCAGAGAGCGTTTGTGTTTGGTAGGAAGTCAGAGGAAAGACAGCAGTGGCATTGGAGCATTTAGGCTTTTATGCACTGTTCTCCAGCACCCTCTGGGCGGTTTACCATCTTGAAGCATTATTTGCATGTTTGCAAACCCCAACAGTCCGGGTCCTCATTTTACCGACCCTCGGGAGGATAGAAGGCTGAGTCAACCTTGGACCCCGTCAAGGATCGAACTCCAGGCTGTGGGCAGAGTTTTGCCTGCAGTACTGCCCTTTAACCACTGCTCCCCCAGAGCTTGCTTGGATGAGACCTCAGTCCCTGGGCATCGCTCAGCAGTGCCGCTCCCTAAGGCAGGATTGGGAGGCCTCTTCGGCTAATTATCCATGCTCCTCTTCTGCTGCTTAGGACCAAGGCTGATAACTGTGCTTTGTTCCACCCCTGGCAGCCAGCACTGGACAGCGTCGCAACGCCTGAGCAGCAGCAGAACATCAAGGCACAACTCCAGAAGATCCACTCGCTCTATCGTCGGCAGCTGGGGATTCCCTTGATGGGTGAGGATCATTTATTGCTTGCCTCTCGACCCCAAATCCTTCGGCTTCTTTTTTTAAAAAAAAAATTCGATACAATTTTTTATTAATTACATTTCTTAGTACTTAATCGACATCGTGTTGTCTGGGTATTTTAATTTGCTTAGCAATACAGATGCCATTCTTACTCGCCACCCCTTTCCCCCCCCCCCAAACACTGGTAAAATAAGCTGCATGTTTGATCATGTTCTGTGCCTTCTTTCTGTTTAATTTTCAATTTAAGTCTGTCCGTTTCTGCACAATCTAATATCTTCATCTTGCGGTGTTTCTTTATTTTTCCAATAGTGTGCAAAGATAATCCTCGCTGCTAAGACACGTAATATAAAATACATACTTTTCTCACCAATTTTTTTCTGATATCATCCCTAATGAAAACAGTTCAGGTTTAAAATCGACATGTTTCCCTATTACGTTTTCTAGTCACTGTGTATTTTTGCCCAAATTATTATTTTTTGTTCTAACACAAGTCCACCACACAAGGATAAAATGTGACTGTTTTTTGATTACATCTCCATCATTTGCTAGACCTATTTTTAAACCTTTTATCTAACCATTTAGCTAAGGTCTTTTTTTTAGCTAAAATCCTTCGGCTTCTTGTTCCTCGGCTCCAGAAGGAATTGGTGGCTGAGTTTTGCACAGGGCACCCCAAGCCAAAGCAACCGTAGTGGGGCTTAAGGCGAGGTGAGGGATCGGGAGACTGTGTTCCCCTTCCTGGCTGACATGGGCTTGTCTCCCTCCCTCTCTGGAGATATGGAATCAACATTTATGGAGTACGAATTCTGGACTGACGAGCCGATCCCACACACAGTGCGGCAAAACTACACAAGGGCTTTAAGGCAGTTGGAGAAATACAAGCCTTACGAAGACGCCCTGGTAAGTGGCTCCCCTCACAACCCCTCAGCTTCGCCGGGCCCGTGTGGCCGATCGTCCTTGAAGGCGCTTCCTTCCAGAGGATGGTGTCTTTCCCCGGTTCCTGGGCTGGGCTTCCAACTTCCTTTCGAAAGGTATTTTTTATAGGGCCCCGTGGGAAGACTCTGGAAGTTACTGTCAAGATTATCAGGGAAGGAGGAACAAAATTGCTTTTAAGTCTGTGTCAAATAGGTTTTATCTCACTGGTCTTCTTTTTCAGAACTTTCTGGGATTGTCCCCCTTTCTCCCCCCCCCCCTTTTTTTTAAATTGAGTTTTACGCTGAGCAATGCAATGCAACCTTTTTTTCTTCCTAATGGGTCCTTTCCCCTGTTCCACTTCCCCTAAAGCGCTTTCTTCCTCTCTTGTTGTTCCAGCTGATAGCTGAAGCCCCAAAGCTGGCCGAATACGAAGCTTACATCGACTTTGAAATGAAGATCGGGGACCCAGCTCGCATCCAGCTGATCTATGAGCGTGCCCTGAATGAGAACTGCCTCGTGCCAGACCTCTGGACTCGCTACACTCAGTACTTGGCAAGTGCCTCCCATCAGCAGGCCTCCCGTCCTCCTGCGAAAGAGCTTTCCTGCGTCTAGTCGGTTGTCCGGGTTAACCAGAGCAATTCTTGTTAAAAGAACTTCAGAACCTTAGGAAATTTGGATCTCTGGGGGGACACAGAGCAACAGGTCTGCAGAAATGCCTCATCACTGATGATTTGATATTGCTACTCTGCAGAGGGATCACTGTCCACTCGATGTGGCCTTTGGCCTTTCCTGTGGCTTCTGGGACTTTTAACAGAAGCCCCCTCCCTCCCTCCCTCCCAGATATCCTTTCTATCCGGTGAGGTGAGGTGTTGCAGCACCAAACGCCCCCCTTGTGCATTATGTAGGACCACAGTTAGCCTGGCTTTAAGCCAGCTTTAAACGTGCTTCCTTTTGTAGGACAGGCAGCTGAGGGTGAGGAGCCTGGTGCTTCCTGCTCACGAGCGAGCTGTCAGGAATTGCCCCTGGACCGTCAAGCTCTGGAGCCACTACCTGATGGCCTTGGAGAGGCACCGGGTGGACCACGAGGTGATCTCAGGTAGGATCAGGAGGACCCCCAGGGCTACGAAGGGCTTCTCCTTCCTGAGGCTGGTGGGAGCTTCACAGCCTCGGAGGCCACACAACGCTCCCGTCCTGTTTACCTGGTTTTTCTTCAAGCTGGAGGGTTGGCGGGTTTTATTTCTTTAACCCGGAGCATCTCTGCCTGCTCCTCCCCAGGCCCTGTGCCAGGGAGGGAGGGAGGGTGTGGGCTGGGCCCCTCTTTCTCTGAGGGCCCCACCTGGCTCAGGCTGAGAACTCACAGGTGTTGAAGCTGTGTCCACCCTTATGTCTTCTTCTATGTGTTAGAAACCTTTGAAAATTCCTTGAAACCCGGTTTTGCTCAGGCCACCGATTACGTGGAAATCTGGCAGGCGTACCTGGATTACCACCGGAGGCGGGTGGACTTTACCCAAGGTAATGCTGTTCGCGACCCCCCTCAGGCAGCCCCTGGGTTTGGCTTCGTGCTTCCAGATCCCAGCAAGGAGGGGATTTTTGCCCCCCCACCCCCCTACTCCATTGGAGAAAGCACCCCTGGCTTCTAGAAAGCTAGTGCTCCAGGGGTGGCTTCTGAATGGCCGCGCTCTCTCCTTGCTGTTTTTCAGACTCGAGTAAGGAGCTGGAAGAGCTTCGCTCCACCTTCGCTCGCGCCCTCAACTATTTAAAGCAGGACGTCGAAGAACGTGGGTTGCCTTTTATTCAGGAAACATTGTTTTTCTGCTGCGGGTGTTAGCGTTGCGACCAGAAATAACCATGGCTGAATTCTGTTTGCCTGCAGGGTTCAATGAGAGCGGAGACCCTTCCTGTACTATCATGCAGGCCTGGGCCAGGATCGAGGTGACCTTAACTCGCCTCTCTTGTTTGGGTTCCTTCTCTCACCTCTGGGGGGGCTGGGTGGGGGATATTTTCAGATTATATTAACAGGGGCCGCCTCCCTCCTCTAGGCCCGCTTGTGCAACAACATGCAGAAAGCACGAGAACTCTGGGACTTGATCATGGTCAAAGGGAACTCAAAGTATGCCAACATGTGGCTGGAGTATTACAACCTGGAGCGGTAAGAGGGAGTCTCTCTTCCTTTCGGGGTTGCCAGCAGTGGGGGCTTGGAGGCCCGTCCTGTTTGGGTCGGAGGTTCCGCTTAAGTCTTCCCGGTCAAACGGATGAGCCAGTGACATCGCCGTAGCCCGGATGCGGCGCCTTTCACGTCCTCGTCAAGGAGCAAAGGACGGGAGCTCACCCAGCCACGCAGCAGCCCTGTGGTCTCAAGTGTGGGCTTTGCCGGCCTCCCACCCAGCACGGGAGCCACCATGCTGCAATGGGTCGTGGGATGCCTGGAAATGAGAGCTTAGTCACAGATTGTGGGGGGCTGACGAGGAGGCCTTGATCCTTCCCGTCCCCAACCAGGCAGCCCAGAAAGGATCCATTGCTCACTCCCAAACGAATGCAGGTTGTGCTTCCTGGGCCCAGCTGGAAGGGAGGAGTTTTTTGGGGGGGGACACCTGCTGTTTCCCACCAGGGCCTCCCCAGCGGTCCTTTCCATGGGCGCGAGGGAGGGGTTTCCAAGGTTTGGCTCAGCTGTGTCTCCTTGGCTGTTGGTGACGGCATCTCTGCCCCCCTTCGGTCTCCCCTCTCTGGCTGCAGGGCACACGGGGATACCCTCCACTGCCGGAAGGCTTTGTACCGGGCCGTGCAGTTCACCCAGGACTACCCACAACAGGTCTGTGACATGCTGCTCACACTGGAGAGAAACGAAGGTGAGCAGCGCCCACTTCCTGCTCCGGTTGGTGGTTGGGAACTTTTGAGAAGGGGGAATAGAATGGAATAGGAATTGGGATAGGATAGAAAATAGAATAGAAAATAGAATATATAGAAGAATAGAATGTAGAATAGAATAGAGTAGAAGAATAGAATAGAATATAGAGTGGAATAGAATAGAATAGAAATATTGGAATGAAATAGAATAGGAAAGAATAGAATAGAATAGAACAAATTTAAGAATAGAATAGAAAATAGAATGTATAGAAGAATAGAATATAGAATAGAGTAGAAGAATAGAATGGGATATACAATGGAACGGAATGGAATATAGAATATACAATATAGAATAGAATTCTTTCTTGGCCAAGTGTGATTGGACACACAAGGAATTTGTCTCTGGTGCCGAAGCTCTCAGGGTCCATAAAAAGAAAAGAATAAAATAGGTTCATCCAGAACCCTAAGAGTTGGGTCCTCCTTTCCTCTCCTCTCGCAGGCACTTTAGAAGACTGGGATGCAGCGGTTGAGAGGACAGAAACCCGGCTGGCCCGAGCGAAAGAGCAGAGAGCAAAGGTGGGGAAACCCTCCTCTTGGAAGGAGGAAAGGTGGGGTGGAGGGACCTCGGGGTGAGGGTCTTACCTGCCCTTGGAAAGTCCCCTCTGGGGACGAGCAGGAGAAAGTCGGGGATGCAGCTGAAGCAGGACGCAGGTGCTTGGCTGCTTCAGAGTGGCGGGCGGCGCGGTGGATGAGAAGAGCAGCCTTCAGCCCCCTCTGGAGGGATTCGGGGTGGGAGGGGTTTCCCTCCTAATTCTCTTGCCCTTGTGGAGGGTCGGCACGGCCCCCCAAGGGCCTCCCGCGTTCCCTTCCGGCATTGCCTCCTAACGGGCCCCCTCTCGCCTGGCTCGACGGCCGATTTACAGATGAGTAGAATTAGAATAGAACAGAACGAATGTTAGAATAGAAGTAAAATTAGAACAAATATTAGAATAGAACAGAATTAGAATAGAATAGAATAGAATAGAATAGAATCTTTATTGGCCAAGTGTGATTGGACACACAAGGAATTTGTCTTGGTGTAAATTCAACAGAGTTGGAAGGGACCTTGTAGGTCATCTAGTCCCCCCCCCCCCCCCCAAAAGCCTCAAGCGATGGAGCCACTTGCAACTTCCTGCCCACAAAGCTGCAGCCATGAAAGGGGCTGCGAACGTCTTGCAGGGGGGAATGAAAAGGCCCCGGGTGGATCTTCTGCTCACGAGGCCGTTTGCCCTTTCAGGCGGCAGCGAAGGCGGCTGCCCTGGCCAAGCAGGAGGAAGAGAAAGCGAATCGGCGCAAGCAGGCCCAGGCCCAGGCCCAGAAGAAGGCCCTCCAAATGGCCCAGTATCCCAGAGCCGGCAACAAGCGGGAGGCAGACCGCGATGGCGAATGGATGGAGGACGGTAGTGCCAGCCTGGCTTTGGCCCTGTGCTCTGCTGGGGGTGGGGGTGGTGTTTGGTGCTTGACCCCCACAAGAAACATTGGAATTGCGGGGAGGGGAGAATCCTAGCTTGGTCTGACTGGCCTTCTGGCAAAACACAAAGAGCCTAAGGCAGAGCCTCTGTGACGCAGTGGGGAGAGTGCAGAACTGCAAGCTACCTCCGCTGCCCGCCAGCTGCCTACAATTTGGCAGTTCAAATCCCACCAGGCTCCAGGTTGACTCAGCCTTCCCTCCTTCCGGGGTGGGTAAAATGAGGACCCAAATTGCTGGGGGCAAATAGGCTGACTCTGTAAACCGCTTAGAGAGGGCTGGAAAAGCACTTTAAAGCCGTCTATAAGTCTCAGCCGTCGTGCCAGAACGGATCAAGTGCCCGGGTTCAGCTTAGTGGGCACAGAGGCAGCCTGGCCAGGAGAGAGGCCCCCCTCCATGCCTCAAATGCCTGGGAAAGGGTTGGGTACGGGTACCCCAGGAGGGTACCCCAGTACAGCCCCTCTCAGGGCTGCTTTCACGCTCGTGGATCGGCGGCTGGGAGGGGGAGCCCCTCAGGGGAGGAAAGCCTGTCCTTCGCTTGTGCTTCCCCTGCGGCCACAAAGCTTTTAAAGGTAAGTGCTGGGTCCGACTTGGAGCTGGTGGTGCTGGGGGGGGAGCCAGCGTTGTCCAAAGACATTTCTGGGGTCACGTAACCGGTGTGACCCTATGCCGAAGGCACCCAGAACGCTCTTTCCTTCCCTCCTTCCTTCCCCATTGGCTGGCATAGGTTGCTTTCAAACGGCTAGGTCAGAGATCCCCAACCGTGGCCACTTTTAAGACTGGTGGGCTTCAACTCCCAGACTTTCCCCAGCCAGGCTAGCTTGCTCTCTTGTGATCCCTTCCTCTGCAATCTCTCCTCTTTGGGGAAGAGGAGAAAAAGAAACAGACACGGCTGGCTGGCTGGGGAATTCTGGGAGTTGAAGTCCACCAGTCTTAAAAAGTGGCCGAGGTTGGGGACCCCCCTGGGCTCGGGGCTGGGGAAGTTAACGGGAGCTCAGCCTGTTGCACTGCGCTTGGGTCTCAAACGCAGACAGTCAGCTTTCTAGCTGAGGCATCGCCACCACCTCCCCTCACCCGGGGTGGTGGTGGTCCTTGGCGACCTCTGACCCCCTTCCTCTTCCCCTGAGCAGAAGAGGGCTTCAAGAAACCGAAGTGGGACGTGAACTTGGGGTGGATAACTGAAGAAGAACAGCAGGAACAGGACGCGCGGGAGCTGGAGAGGAACATAGAGCTTGAGGTTGAGCTGGGCCTTTTCGGAAAGAAGGACGCCCCCAAAGTGCTTCACGACAGCAAGAAGGAGGGTTTCACCGTCTTCGTCAGCAACCTCCCCTACCTCATGGGCAAGCCGGAGAAAAAACTCCGACGCCTTTTTGCCAAGTGCGGGGAAGTGGCCGAAGTCCGCCCCATCTTCACTAACAAGGGCTCATTCCGCGGCTACGCCTACGTGGAGTTCAAGGACGAGAGGTCGGCTCTGCAGGCCTTCGAACTGGACCGGACCTTGGTGGGAGGCAGGCCGATGTTTGTCTCTCCCTACGTGGATAAAAGCAAGAATCCGGATTCCAAGGTAACAACAACCCCCCACCCCCCGTCGCCCGTGGGAGTTGGGGGAGGCAGGGTCAGCCGGTCCGCTTGCAGAAGAGGCAGCGGCTCCTGAAGGACACAGAAGGAGGTGGGAGATTTCCCTTTGGGCCTGAGGTCCCCAAGCGAGGCAACTCCAAGACTGGTGGACTTCAACTCCCAGAATTCCCCAGACATCAGCTGGGCAAGCCTCCCTTTGCTTTGCTGACTGGGGAACTCTGGGAGAGCGCGCGCGCACACACACACACACCCACACACCAGGCCCGTGCTTGAGTTTTCCTCCCTGGCGTTCTTCTCCCTCCTGAAGGTGTTCAAGTACAGCACCAACCTTGAGTTGCACAAGCTGTTCATCTCTGGCCTGCCCTTTTCGTGCACCAAAGAGGACCTGGAGGAGCTCTGCAAAGGGCACGGGAATGTGAAGGATGTCCGGCTGGTCACCAACCGGGCTGGCAAACCCAAGGTGGGCTTTTTGGGGGAGGAACTGCCCGGCCCTGCTCCCCCAGGGCGGGCCCGGTTGGAGAGCTGTCTCTGGGACAGGAGGACCCCCAGTGTGCCTATCGCCTGCCTGTCTTTTTCCCTCCCAGGGCTTGGCCTACGTGGAGTTTGAGAACGAAGAGCAGGCCTCCCAGGCACTCCTGACCATGGACGGGCTGACCGTTAAGGACCACGTCATTCACGCGGCCATCAGCAACCCTCCGTCCCGAAAATCTCCCGAGAAGCCGGAACCCCAAAGCCAGATGCCGAGTTCCCGGAAGGCTCCTCGCAGGTGAGTGTTTGGAACCCAGCACACGCCGAAAAGGGGCTTTCTTGGACTTTGTTTTAAGCGAAGGGCGTTTCTTTAACCTAAGCGCTTGGCGGTGTTTCCACCTGGGAACTTTTCGGGTTGCTGGGAGATCAGTTTTTATTTTAGGTGTTTTTATACTTACTTACAAACGTCAGCTAGGTTTTTAAAAAAGATAATTATGTGGATAGTCTCGTTTCGAGAAATTGGGGTTCTGGCTGCTGCCTGGTGGGCTCCCTCCCCCAACAGTGCTGAGACTTTCGAATCTTCTGCGCCCCTTTTGTAAGTGCCCTCGATCTGCTCCTTCCACAGGCGTCGCAAGCGGAGAACCCAGCTGGTGATGGTCCCTCGCGCCTTGCAGCGTCAAAACAACCCAGCAAACAATGGCACGTTGCAGAACCCGCCCGCCAAGCCCTCCCCGTCTGGGGAATGGCCCAAGAAGATGACCAACGCGGACTTCGCCAAGATGCTCCTGCATAAGTGAGCCGCTGCCCTTGACCAGCGAAGCCAGGGGGGCTGCCAAGGCCCCCCTGGAAGTCACTGGCTGGTCTTTCCCCGTAGCAGACGCTGCAGTCCATCATGGCTCCCCCTCCTGTTCTAATTCGGACTTTTGTATCCGCCAAACGCCTGAAGAGGGAAGGGTCGATTTCCCCCCCCCCCCCCTTTGAAGTACCGTAGGGCCAAGTTGTTGAGTTAGGGCTGCAGGTGCGAGGAATTTGTTGAAAATGGCTTTAAATGCTCCCTCATATTGGGGGGTTTATGTGGCGAGCGCTCACTTTCGAGGCCGAACGCGCACAGTATGTTTAAATAGTTGGGTTTTTTTCAGCTGTTCTCCAAATGAAGAGTTTAATGTGAATTGAGCCTCGATCTGGTTTATACAAAGCCCACCGCAGGCGCTGAGCTACGTCGGGGAGCCTTGCGATGCTGCCTGTGTTGTGCGCAAAAAAAGGCCCCGGAACGAGTCCAGCGCCTCCTCGTGTAAGAAAGGCGTATAAATAGCAGATGCGAGAAACTTCACCATAATGGCCTATTTTCATATTGGGAGGCAAAGGGTTGGCGTTTCTACCGGCCCGTTTGCTCAAAGTTGAGTCTGTTTTTATATATATATATATATATATCTGTACGTAACTCACACCCGTCTTTGTGGAAGTGACAAGCCCACGCTGGCTACTTTTGAGCTTTTGCTGACCCGGCACTTGAGGGAAGGACCCACTGCTAAGCTTGGAGGTTTCCGTTTGCCTGGTTCCTGTGAGGGTCTCTAGCCAGGCCCAGTTAGGTTCTTGAGATGTTTAGCTTGAAATGTTTCTTTCTTTGTTAAAGAAAAAATTTGCATACAATATAAAGCGTGAGCCTTCATTAAAATTCTTCTTGCAAGTTGACTGAGTTGTTGCCTGCTTGACCTGCTGAATCAAGATGAGAGGGGTGGGCTGTTTGCAGAAACAGAGAAGATACTAGGGTATTTAAAGATTTTTTTTTTTTTGCATTTTGAACCTTTAATCACAATTCTTAGGGGGACCCTCCGTCACTCTGTTTGTAGGACTTCAAATCCAATAATCCTATTTTGTAGATAGGCAGGGCCTGGGTGCCCGAAGGGGTTAACTGGCTTTCCCACGTGCATTGGTCCTACCTCAGCATCTGGGTTAAGGAGCAATCCCTGAGTCACCTCTGCGTTATGCAGGCATGCTATGGATTGCTGCCAACAAGGAGTAGGAAGCAGGGAGGGCCTGAAAAAAAAACCACCCAATCCCTCGTTCACAAAAGCAACTCACAGCAATAGACAATTCTGCTCCGTTACTTGAAAACTAAACATCACACATGAAATTCCAGTGCTGCCTATCTTTATTTTGAGTTAACTATTTATGGGTGCCTGTAGAACGGCACTAATTTTGCATACCTGGGAGCTGTGAGGAGAAGGTGCAGTCCTCATTTAAAAAAAAGAAAATCCAGAGTTCAGGAAAATCTTTATTGCAACCAACCCAATATGCACACTTTGCAAAACTGTCAGGTGCTGCTCGTATTTCACACACTGCATTGTGGTTGTACCTGCCTGGCTTGCCTAAGAAGGGCAGCCGTCCCCTCCCTGAAGTCTGGACCGACTTAAGGTTGGATCACGCCTGTCCCAACGCTTGGGGGTTCTTCCCGGGGGCAACCAAGATGGCAAGAGGGGAGCCAGGAAGAGGGGGAGCAGAAGAGGGGCAGCCATTGTGTGTGCAGAGTTTGCAGCTTAACAAAAAGCACCCCCCCCCCATCTCAAACCTTTTTCTCCTTTGAAATCTCAGGCAACGCTTGTACATTCCAAGTGGGAGAAACGTAAAGTGCTATCGGAGGAGGAGTTTAAAGAGCCATTCGCCTTTCAGTATTTGAGGCTGGGTAAGCTTTTTCCACAGACAATATCACACCAGAGCCAACCAGCAAACGGGGGTTATAGGAGGGTAAGATGGGAAGCCTCCAACTTCCAAAAGACTCTGCAGTGGTATTGCGTATTCAGTTTCTTACGAGGTTTTTTTTTTTTTTTTTTTTTGTGTTTTTTTTTAAGCATTAGACCAAAGCCCACAGACTTCTCTTTAGGTTCTGGCCCGAACTGAGACCTTCTGGAGTGGTTCTGCTGGAAAGGGTGCTTGGGGAAGAGCTAAGGCACAATTCAGGACAAGTAAAGTCCCTAGGAAGGCACTGGCAGGCAGGAAGCTGGTTTGGTTTTAGATGCGAAGCTGCCACAAACAAATTGGGGGGGGGGGGGGGGGGGGCAGGTGAAACTGCAGCTTCGTGGGATTTACACACGTTTCCTTCCCCCTTTCCTCCCCATGGACTAGCAAACCAAACCAATCCCGAGACTGCATCAGTTCGCTAAGGACACCAATGAACTCAACCAGGCTTGGCCGGGTAAAGGAACGGCCACATTTTCCATACCTGACTCTGTAGCCAGAAAGCTGACCGTGGCTTGGATTTTTGAAGCAGTCCTGCTTGACCAGACGCCGCCAGCCAGAGAAGCAGCTCTCTGGCCGGTCCCCTTTTGCAATAAAATTAGACAGGTTACTCGGGGCCATTTGGGGGGTAATAAATATGGAGAGGCCACTGCATCAAACGGTTTAACTTAATATTAAGACATAAATAAATGAAATGTTCTACAGAAAAAGTGCTTTCCCAGCTCCCCTCCCACAGGGGGCGCCCTTCGCTACCAGCCTTCAAGTCCGAGTTTTGAGTGAGATGGTCTGTTGGCAACCTGCGCTGCTGCTGCTGCCGCCGCCGCCCCCATCCCGCGCTTCAGGGAGGCCCACCGAATGCTCCGTGGTCGCAAAGAGCAGCATGTCGAGGGTGGTCTCCGTGCACTTGGCGATCAGGCGGATGAAGGGCCGGACATCTCCTTCGTTGGCCACCTCCAGGGCGTGGTAATACTCAGCCCGCTGCTCCTTCCGGATGGTGATGGGCGGGTAGCCGGCCTGCATGAGGATCAGGTTCATCAGGAGCCGGGAGGTCCGCCCGTTGCCATCCACAAACGGGTGGATGTACACCAGCTTGTAGTGGACCAGCGCGGCGAACTCGACCGGGTGCAGGCCCATGGCATCCTCGGAGTTGATCCACTGCACAAACTCCAGCATCTGCTTCTCCACATCGCGAGGATGGGGCGGGACGTGGTGGCCGACAAACACCTGGGTAGTCCTGAACCGGCCCCCTTCGACGGGGTCCACGAAGCCCAGGACCCTCCGGTGAATCTCCAGGATGTCGGGCAGGCTGACGGAGCCAATGCGAGACAAGAGGGTGGTGTTGACGTACTTCATGGCGGCGTGCATGCCGATGACCTCGTTCTGCTCCTCCAGGCTCTTCCCGGGAACGGCGTATCGCGTCTCGATGATGTGCCGGATCTCGGCAAGCGTCAGGGTGTTGCCCTCAATGGCCACCGTGTGGTAGATATGGTGGTAGTAGGACTCCTCCATCACCCTCCGCAGGGCAGAGTTGCCCTTGGGGATGGACAGGACCTTCTGGACTTTGCTGTCGATGATGCTGAAGAACCTCTGGTCGATTTCCTCCACAAGCGGCAACGTCCTGTCTCGGCTGACCAGAGCCTTCTTGTTGTGGGGGGAGATGGTCAAGGCTTTTGAGTAGAGATAGTCGGCCTGAATGATGTCCTTCTCCTCCTCGGAGAAGAGGCCGAACTCGGTCAAGGCATCCACGTAGTCGGGGTCCATCTTGAGGGCGTGCAGGAAGAGCTTTTGAGCCTTCTCACGCTTCCCTTGTCTTTTCATCTCCAACGCCTGGTGTAGCGCCGCTTTGGCTTCCAATCTGCCCTCTGAAACGAAGGAAAGCCCCGTTAGGAGCCACATATTTTATTCAGCAATGCATCTGGCAGAGGCATCTAGATTAGGGGTGTCCACCAACGTGGCAACTTTAAGACCCGTGGACTTCAATTCCCAGAATTTCCTCAGCCAGCAATGCTGGAACACCCCTGATGTAGATACTGGATTTCATGCTGTTTCAGTTAGCTTGGGTTATCCCGTGCTTTGTACTGAAAAGCTGATGGATTCTTTCCCGCAGTTTCTTGAGGCACCTTCAGAAACCCAAAGTTAAGGTGAGTTTGAAATCAGCTGGCTAAGAAATTCAGGAACGACGAAAGGAAACGGCACTTCTCAAAATGCCAAAACGCAAAATAAGGGGTGGTCTCTGCTTGGGCTCCCCTTCCTCCTCTGCATGCCTTTAGAAGGAGCTCCTAACATTCTCAGTCAGAATTCTGGGAACCGAAGTCCCACCATGTCAGCACAGAGGAGATAGCAGGAGGGAGATTGTTAGTGAGACTGCTTGCTTATAACCTAACAAGGCACCACACAAAAGCCACCCCCGAAACGAAGCACATATCAAAGGGGGCTCCAGATGTCAGAAACAGCCCTACTGGGAAGGCCGTCTTTAGAGAGGAGGAGGGGTCCTGGGGGCTCCCGAGCTGGGCTGTTTCCTTGCAGACGTTTCATAACCCAACCAGGCAACTTCATCCGTGCGAGTAACATCACCACCAAGGAGCCCTCATTCCAACCCACAAACATTCTCCCTTTATCGGGGCTTCTTTCGGAGTGCAGGACTCCAGGGACAAACCTGGGGATACTTTGGGCTTCAGCACCATCAGCTCCAAGCCGCCGGAGGTCACGCTGAGCTCGGTGGTCTGCCCCGTGTAGGTGGCGATGCCCACGTAGCCCAGCCCCAGCTTGCTCCGGAGGAAGGCCCAGCCCTTCAGGGCTGCCTGGACCTGGCCCTCCAGCAGCAGCACCGGGAGCAGCACCACCAGCAGGCCCGCCAGCAGGGCCACCAGCACCGCCGGCCAACGGGCCCGGAGCCAGAGGGAGACCCATTTCAGCTCTGGCTCCACCGCCGTCACCGC